GGAGAACAAAGGAAATTCGGTTGAGCACTTGATACCCTTGTCTAAAAGCAAATTCCTAGCCGGTTGGTTAAGTAGAAAGCCTACGTGCATCTAGGCAAGTCATTTTTAGTCTTCCCTCGTCAAATTAAACGCAGTTTGGATTCGATTCATCCATTTCGAGACTGATGTTTAAATCTGGAAAATGTTGATGGCTAACGTTTGGCCCCTCGTTATTTTGGCGTTTTTAATAGTTCCGGTGACACTATCCAGTGATATTTTGGGTAAGGTATACAAGATGAAAGAACATGTTTTGCAACTTCAATGGAATTCAATGTACTAAAAGCAACGAATTCTGCAGTTCCACAAAAGGAGGAAAATTTTTCTGTTAAAATTAAGAGGAATTTTCAATATTTTTCAGTCACCTAAATGAAAAAATTATAATGAACTAATTAGTTGACATCATTCAGACTACGTAACGTTTATTAAAAATTTTTTAGGTCCATTTAATATGCTTGAGCAAGTTTTAATTTGAGGGCTTTTAAAGAAGAACAAAGGAAATTCGTGAGAGAACTTGATACCCTTGTTTAAAAGCAAATTCCAAACCCGTTAATTCATCAGAAATCCAGGTGGGCAAGTACTTTTTAGTCTTCCCTTATCAAATTAAACACAGTTTGAATTAGATCCATCCATTTCGAGACTGACTTTCAAAGCTGGAAAAATGTTGATGGTAAACGTTTGGACTCTCGTAATTTTGGCAGTTTTAATAACTCCAGCGACGCTATCCAGTGATATTTTGGGTAAGTTATACATGATATAAGAACGAGACGGTACTTAACAAGGAAATTCTAATCATCCTTATATCAGCCCGTCGGTTTAAAAATTTAAAAAAATATACGTGCGTTTTGGTAACGGCAATATCAGAAGTTCCGTTTGTTTGATCAAAGGTCTTCAACAAGAAATGGATTTGCTCGCCAAACTACTGATCTGATGCTCCTATGCGAGGTTTCGTTCATCAATCAATAAGGTTTTCTATATTCAAGAAGGAAGGTTTCCGTTGCAGAATAACATACCCAAACCTAAACATCAGTCATCCATACAAAACAGAAAGAGACTTTTAGAGCGCATAATTTTAGACTTTTTCTGTACAAAAGAAAGAATCTTTTTCTCAATTCTTTCATCATTTTAATTAGCAATGCTATAACGAAGAAGTTTGGTACAAGTATAAAGACCCGCTGGTAGTTTTGCATCCTCAGTGGAATTCAATGTACTAAAAGCAACGAATTCTGTTCCACAAAAGGGGAAAAATGGTTCTGATAAATTAACAGGAATTTTCAAATTATTGACTCTTCTTAATAGCAAAAATTTTAATGAACTACAGTTGACTCATTGACTCAGAAACTACTTTACGTTTATTGAAGAATTCTTTACCGGTTCATTTGATTTGCTTGAACAAGTTTCAATTTGAGGCTTTTAAAGGAGAACAAAGGAAATTCGGTTGAGCACTTGATACCCTTGTCTAAAAGCAAATTCCTAGCCGGTTGGTTAAGTAGAAAGCCTACGTGCATCTAGGCAAGTCATTTTTAGTCTTCCCTCGTCAAATTAAACGCAGTTTGGATTCGATTCATCCATTTCGAGACTGATGTTCAAAGCTGGAAAATGTTGGTGGTAAACGTTTGGCCCTTCGTTATTGTGGCGTTTTTAATAGTTCCGGTGACACTATCCAGTAATATTTTGAGTAAGGTATACAAGATGTAAGAACATGTTTTGCAACTTCAATGGAATTCAATGTACTAAAAGCAACGAATTCTGCAGTTCCGCAAAAGGAGGAGGAAAATTTTTCTGATAAATTAAGAGGAATTTTCAATATTTTTCAGTCACCTAAATGAAAAAAAATTATAATGAACTAATTAGTTGACATCATTCAGACTACGTAACGTTCATTAAAAATTTTTTTAGGTCCATTTGATTTGCTTGAGCAAGTTTTAATTTGAGGGCTTTTAAAGAAGAACAAAGGAAATTCGTGAGAGAACTTGATACCCTTGTCTAAAAGCAAATTCCGAACCCGTTAATTCATCAGAAATCCAGGTGGGCAAGTGTTTTTTAGTCTTCCCTCATCAAATTAAACACAGTTTGAATTCGATCCATCCATTTTGAGACTAACTTTTAAAGCTGGAAAAATGTTGATGGCAAACGTTTGGCCTTTCGTAATTTTGGCAGTTTTAATAACTCCAGCGACGCTTTCCAGTGATATTTTGGGTAAGTTATACGTGATATAAGAACGAGACGATACTTAACAAGAAAATTCTAATCATCCTTTATTAGCCCGTCGGTTTAAAACTTTAAAAAAATATACGTGCGTTTTGGTAACGGCAATATCAGAAGTTCCGTTTGTTTGATCAAAGGTCTTCAACAAGAAATGATTTTGCTCGCCAAACTACTGATTTGATGCTCCTATGCGAGGTTTCGTTAATCAATCAATAAGGTTTTCTATATTCAAGAAGGAAGGCTTCCGTTGCAGAATAACATACCCAAACCTAAACATCAGTCATCCATACAAAACAGAAAGAGACTTTTAGAGTGCATAATTTTAGACTTTTTCTGTACAAAACAAAGAATCTTTTTCTCAAACCGTTCATCATTTTAATTAGCAATGCCATAACGAAGAAGTTTGGTACATGTATAAAGACCCGCTGGTAGTTTTGCATCCTCAGTGGAATTCAATGTACTAAAAGCAACGAATTCTGTTCCACAAAAGGGGAAAAATGGTTCTGATAAATTAACAGGAATTTTCAAATTATTGACTCCCCTTAATAGCAAAAACTTTAATGAACTATAGTTGACTCATTGACTCAGAAACTACTTTACGTTTATTGAAGAATTCTTTACCGGCTCATTTGATTTGCTTGAACAAGTTTCAATTTGAGGCTTTTAAAAGAGAACAAAGGAATTTCGGTTGAAAACTTGATACCCTTGTCTGATAGCAAATTCCTAACCGGTTGGTTAAGTAGAAAGCCTACGTGCATCTAGGCAAGTCATTTTTAGTCTTCCCTCGTTAAATTAAACGCAGTTTGGATTCGATTCATCCATTTCGAGACTGATGTTCAAAGCTGGAAAATGTTGGTGGTAAACGTTTGGCCCTTCGTTATTGTGGCGTTTTTAATAGTTCCGGTGACACTATCCAGTAATATTTTGAGTAAGGTATACAAGATGTAAGAACATGTTTTGCAACTTCAATGGAATTCAATGTACTAAAAGCAACGAATTCTGCAGTTCCGCAAAAGGAGGAAAATTTTTCTGATAAATTAAGAGGAATTTTCAATATTTTTCAGTCACCTAAATGAAAAAATTATAATGAACTAATTAGTTGACATCATTCAGACTACGTAACGTTCATTAAAAATTTTTTTAGGTCCATTTGATTTGCTTGAGCAAGTTTTAATTTGAGGGCTTTTAAAGAAGAACAAAGGAAATTCGTGAGAGAACTTGATACCCTTGTCTAAAAGCAAATTCCGAACCCGTTAATTCATCAGAAATCCAGGTGGGCAAGTGTTTTTTAGTCTTCCCTCATCAAATTAAACACAGTTTGAATTCGATCCATCCATTTTGAGACTAACTTTTAAAGCTGGAAAAATGTTGATGGCAAACGTTTGGCCTTTCGTAATTTTGGCAGTTTTAATAACTCCAGCGACGCTTTCCAGTGATATTTTGGGTAAGTTATACGTGATATAAGAACGAGACGATACTTAACAAGAAAATTCTAATCATCCTTTATTAGCCCGTCGGTTTAAAACTTTAAAAAAATATACGTGCGTTTTGGTAACGGCAATATCAGAAGTTCCGTTTGTTTGATCAAAGGTCTTCAACAAGAAATGATTTTGCTCGCCAAACTACTGATTTGATGCTCCTATGCGAGGTTTCGTTAATCAATCAATAAGGTTTTCTATATTCAAGAAGGAAGGCTTCCGTTGCAGAATAACATACCCAAACCTAAACATCAGTCATCCATACAAAACAGAAAGAGACTTTTAGAGTGCATAATTTTAGACTTTTTCTGTACAAAACAAAGAATCTTTTTCTCAAACCTTTCATCATTTTAATTAGCAATGCCATAACGAAGAAGTTTGGTACATGCATAAAGACCCGCTGGTAGTTTTGCATCCTCAGTGGAATTCAATGTACTAAAAGCAACGAATTCTGTTCCACAAAAGGGGAAAAATGGTTCTGATAAATTAACAGGAATTTTCAAATTATTGACTCCCCTTAATAGCAAAAACTTTAATGAACTATAGTTGACTCATCGACTCAGAAACTACTTTACGTTTATTGAAGAATTCTTTACCGGCTCATTTGATTTGCTTGAACAAGTTTCAATTTGAGGCTTTTAAAAGAGAACAAAGCAATTTCGGTTGAAAACTTGATACCCTTGTCTGATAGCAAATTCCTAACCGGTTGGTTAAGTAGAAAGCCTACGTGCATCTAGGCAAGTCATTTTTAGTCTTCCCTCGTCTAATTAAACGCAGTTTGGATTCGATTCATCCATTTCGAGACTGATGTTCAAAGCTGGAAAATGTTGATGGTTAACGTTTGGCCCCTCGTTATTGTGGCGTTTTTAATAGTTCCGGTGACACTATCCAGTGTAATTTTGGGTAAGGTATACAAGAGGTAAGAACATGTTTTGCAACTTCAATGGAATTCAATGTACTAAAAGCAATGAATTCTGCAGTTCCGCAAAAGGAGGAAAATTTTTCTGTTAAAATTAAGAGGAATTTTCAATATTTTTCAGTCACCTAAATGAAAAAATTATAATGAACTAATTAGTTGACATCATTCAGACTACGTAACGTTTATTAAAAATTTTTTAGGTCCATTTGATTTGCTTGAGCAAGTTTTAATTTGAGGGCTTTTAAAAAAGAACAAAGGAAATTCGTGAGAGAACTTGATACCCTTGTCTAAAAGCAAATTCCAAACCCGTTAATTCATCAGAAATCCAGGTGGGCAAGTAATTTTTAGTCTTCCCTCATCAAATTAAACACAGTTTGAATTAGATCCATTCATTTCGAGACTGACTTTCAAAGCTGGAAAAATGTTGATGGTAAACGTTTGGAGTCTCGTAATTTTGGCAGTTTTAATAACTCCAGCGACGCTATCCAGTGATATTTTGGGTAAGTTAAACATGATATAAGAACGAGACGGTACTTAACAAGAAATTTCTAATCGATCAATTGCACTTTTAAATGGCCAAACCTTACACGCAGACGCCAATCAATTTTGTTAAAATATAATAAGGTTAACACCAACTATCCCACTATAGTTAAAAGTTTTTTTAATATTAAAAAAGTAAATCATTTTAGGGACAGTAAGTATTTTTTTGTTCACTCTAACGCGGGTCAAAACTAAAACAATTTAAAAAAGGTGCCAATTTCTTACTCAAACGGTCAAACAACTCTAGTCTGAATGACTGCAGTACAGAGATTTACAAACATGGTGTCCTGAATGTATGTAAGAATATTCCTACAACTGGTATAAGCAAAGGGTTTATTTATTTAGCTTTCTCTAGGTTTTCACCATTATACAGTTATTTCGTGAAAAAAATTTAGGTTCCATTTCATCTGCGAATGAAATAAAGAAAGAAGCCTACAGTATTCAAAATTCTTTGGCGCCCAGAAAATAGCATTCCAAGCGAAAACGAGCATTCAGGAATCGGTCAAAAAATTTTGTTTTAACTACAAATTGAAGTTTGTTCCCCAAAACTCATATATTAGGATACACTACTGGTAAACTGACTTATTGGCATGGTTCATAGTTTTTAGTTATGTTTTCATAACAACCCCAACACAAATTTTAATTCAATAAAAATAATACATTGATGCAAAGTAGAAACGCTTCTTAAAAGAAAGACCAGTTGTGCGAAGAATTTGAACGATAGTTAAACACGCCGGTAAGTCAGGACATCATAGGCAACTTGTGGAAGAACATGATACCCTTCCCACATGCAAAAGCAACTTGTCTGAGCATCGAGCGACGCTTTCCTTGCCATAAGTAAAATACTATTAAGCTTGCTGCATTTAGAAACGTTCTTTCATTTCTTATCTGGTTCTATGCTAATGGTAAATGTTTGGCTCTTAGTAATTATTGTAGTTCTTGCACCTTTAAGACAGCATTATAGTAAGTTACCGGTTGTAAGAGACACTGGTAATTCACCATTAAAACTCTGAAAAGACATTTTACTTCGTGACTAGTTGGAGCAGTCTCACGCACTTGTTAATCATTTTGTTTTGCTCAGAGTATCCCTTTAATTAAACGCAAATATTCCGTCGGCTGTCCGCTTCAGTGATACAAAGAAGTTGGAACAGCCAGGAGTAGTGAAAGAAATTACCCATAACACTTTTTCCTTTCTCAAATTTCCGTTTATTTAGAGTGCAAATATTATCTAAAAGAAACTGATTTCTTTAAAACAAGAAATTTTAAAAGACACCCCGAACCTGAAAAGATAATGTAATCTTAATGTCTACAAGGATTCATGCGCGAACATAAAATGTTAGTGTTAACTGCTTGCCACGGTTTCCACTTTGAACAAATTCGATATCTTAAAACGCTTTCAATACTACATTTTACGTAAATCTATTGTGTCAAATGTTGCGACAAAAGGGTAAAAAGTATACACAGGATGTCTGTTCACATTTAAGAAAAATATTAGATTAAAAATTATATTATGTTCACAACTGGTCGGAGAAGACTTTTCAACTGATTGTCATTAATTCGGATGCAAATACTATCCAAGAGGGTTTGTTCAGCCCTTTTGTTTAAAAGTCCAAAAAATATAGGAAGGTTTTGGTGACGGCAATATCAGTAATTCCGTTAGTTTGATCAAAGGTCTTCAACAAGAAATGGTTTCTTTTGCCAAAGAACTGATTTGATTCTTCTATGCGAGGTTTCGTTCAATGAGGTTTTTGATATTCAAGAAGGAAGGTTTCCGTTGCAGAATACTGAAGACACCCAAACCTAAACATCAGTCATCCAGCAAAAGCAGAAAGTGCTTTTTAGATCATATAATTTTAGACTTGTTCAGTACAAGACAAAGAATCCTTTCTGAAACCTTTCTCACTGTAAATTTAGCGGGGAAGTTTAATACATGTTTAAACACCTACTATTTCTTTTACAACTTCAGTGGAATTCAGTGCACTAAAAATAACGAATTCTGTTCCGTAAAAGGAGGAAAAAGTTTCTGATAAATTAACAGGAAATTTCACATTATTTACTCACCTTAATAAAAAATTTTAATGAGCTATAGTTGACCTGCTGGAGATTACTTAACGTTTGTTGAAGAATTCTTTACGTCCCTTTGATTTGCTTGAGCGAGTTTCAAATTGAAGCTTTTAAGTAAGAACAAAGGAAATTCGTGGGAGAACTTGATACCCTTGTCTAAAAGCAAATTCCAAACATGTTAGTTTATAAGAAATCTATGTGAGAGACGTAATTTTTAGTCTTCATTCATCAAAGTAAACGCAGTGTGGACTCGATCCATCCATTTCGAGGCTGAAGATCAGTAATTTTTAGTCTTCCCTCATCAAATTAAACACAGTTTGGATCCGAGCCATCCATTTCGAGACTGACTTTCAAAGCTGGAAAAATGTTGATGGTAAACGTTTGGCCTTTCGCCATAATTTTGGCAACTCAAATAGCTCCGGTGACGCTATCCAGTGATATTTTGGGTAAGTTATACATGATATAAGAAAAAGATGGAACTTAAAAAGAAAATTCTAATCGATCAATTGCACTTTTAAATGGCCAAACGTTATACGCAGACGCCAATCAATTTTGTCAAATATTGTCTTGAAACTTTGACAGAAATTTCGAGCTCATAATCTAATTGTTAATTGTTAAGTATAGTGATGCGGCTCTGTAAATACTGCAAGTATTTATTAGAAATATTGACTTTCCATGTTTTCTTTTTTTCTTTTTATGTCTTAAGCTTGGGAACTCTTGATCAAATAATTTTGAAAAGGTAAATGAAAAGTAAAACGTTTTATCGACAGTAAGTAACTTTTTTGTTTACTTGGTTCAAAACCAAAACAATTTAAAAAGGTGCTACTTCGTCTGGGACGAATTGGCTGTCTCTGAATCTGTTTTAACTTTACAAAATCGATAAAAAAAGCGTAATTTGTACTGTTAAATTATTTATGTTGAAAGCATTATTTTATTTGGCGCAATTTTTGCTATCAATTTATCTTCTCGATTCCAAACTAACTGATCTTTGTTCTGTTAATCATCGTTTCTTCCCTCAAGCTGACACTCCCAACCTACAGGATTGTAGTGATATTTTTCACCTAAATTGAGAGGAACGCATTTAAATTGATCACGATTTAAGTTGTTATGTCATTTGATTATTTTGAATGATTGAAGCTTTTGCACTCAAGGCTGTTAACCTAAATGAATGGTAGCTTGTGGTAGAACATGACACCCGTGACAAAGAGCAAATTTTAAGGCGGGTAGGTAATCTACGAGTGATTTCATGTGCTACTCAAGCACTTTATTTCTTTGGTCGAGTTCTTAGAATCTTTAGACTCGTTCTGGTACGCCTCTCACAATCTTGGTGGTACAGATATATGTTTTCGCTCCTATAGCAGCCTTGATAGTTCCCCCCTATCCTCGAGTCAAGTATCTGGTAAGTGCTTTTTACTGAGAAATCACATTTTATCGAATGATAGTAGGGCATGATTATGTTTAATTAAGTCTTTACTAAAACGGAGTGATTATCCGAGAGAGGTGATTATTTCAAGCAAATTATAGTGTGAGTATTCGAAGGGAGGGATTATTCAAAGGACAGCGCTATATTATTCGTATAAATCAAATATTCAGTACGATAAACCTGGAGTGATGACCCTTCTTAATAGTTTTGCGTTACTATTCCACTTCTTTGCTAAAGGGACCTCTTACAAAAGTGAAACAACAAAAAAATCAAATTTTGTTTTTAAAGAATGCAACTTTCATATTCAATTCACAGGCTTAAAAGTTTATACCGCGCTGTGCAGAATAACAAACATCACCACAGGAAAATATTACCCAAAGTAGCTCAGTTCCATTTGAATGGTCAACTTTTTCCATTTCATTCATTTTTTCATTTGAACGGTCACACGTTTTTCAAAGTGCCGTGATCGAGCTTCTCGGCCTATTGTTATCAATTATAAAAGCATTGAAGTCCTCCCGCACGCCAAATTACTTGGCCTGACCATCTCTAACGATCTCAAATGGAATAAACATGTTTCTGAAGTAGTCAGGAAGACAGCTTTAATTAAGGCTTTACTCGTTAAGGCAGCTGAAGCGCACAAACGCAGATCCCGTTTAGCTTTATTATATGTTTCTACGACACCTGTATCCGTCCGGTGAAGGAATACACTTAATTGTCAAGTTGTCCATAACGGATATCCACTTTACTTGTCAGATGAATAAGAGAGAATCCAAAGGCACGCACTACGAATAATTTAGCCAGACTTGAGGTATATAGAGGCTCTGCAGAAAGCGAGCCTCGCCACCCTTTACGCAAGAAGGCAAGAGTTAACAGAGCGCCTATTTAATGAGGTTATGGAAAATAGTGTCCATGGATTTCATAGCCTATTGCCTGTGCGTAATAGCTGCCCTAGATTATTAAGACGCACACGTATGTTCTCCATGCCAGTGTGTAAGACGAACAGATTCCAAATCACCCTTCGAATGGTCAAATTTTTTTCATTTCCATCCACAAACTGTAAAAGCAAACAACCTTGCACATAATAACCGAAACTGCGTGACATGAAAATACTTTCATGTGATCATAGAACAGATTTCTTACCACTGAAGGAATCACCGCACACAACGGTAACACAGAAAAGTGCTGTTCTGTAACATTACTTTAATTGGTACAGATGTATTGGGATATTTTAAGTCTGGTCAATAAATGAGAATAATGTATTATTCAGTAGTGACACAGGCACAGTGGGAAAAAAATCCGAGTCTCCTGTAGCTCAGTGGTAGAGCATCCGAACTAGTAATCGGAAGGTCTTAGGTTTGACTCCTGGTAGGAGCACTCGGATTTCCTTTTACCGAGTATGCCTGTGTCACTTACGGAATAAATACATCATTCTCCTTACTTTTATTATTTTCTCAACGGTTTTAATTTTAACTGCCCAGTAGCATTCAACACACACTTGAGTAGTTAAGTATAAAATATCAGCCTCTCCTCACCCTAACCCCTTGGGGCGTTTGGCTTAGGGAAAGACGGCAGAGACCGTCGCGGGTTAACAGCTAGTTTAAGTGCAAGGTATTTCAAATTTCCTCCTCCTGCTCCTGTAAATATCCACCGGACAGTACGTTCTATCCACGGTAATTGAGCTAGCAAAAGTAGACGCTTTGAATTTCCTTCCTTGGTTGAACTTTTACCAGTTAACTCTTTGACTTTGCTTTCATTTGTTAAAAGAATCTCGCAGTAAATGGACGAGGACTCACCGCTGGCTGCGGAGCACGTCTCCTCCCCCATTTTTCGCAGGGGACAAGCGACCTGAAGGCCTTCCGGATATCAGCCATGGAACAGAAATTGAACAGAAGCTACCAGACGATCTTCCGAACACTCCGCCTTATTTTGTTTCACTCTTTGATGCAACATGGAATATTCCTTTTTACTCAGCGTACAAGGTAACCCCTTCCCAAGCGGTAGGCATTGGGACACACGGAAGGGAAGATTCTAAGTGGAGAAACCCTAAAGACGCTAGAGGACAAGGTATATTGGTATCTTTCAACACGTTTATTCTCTTTCTTCTCCAGCGTTAGACGGCTCATTAACACTAACATTATCGATGTATCTCCAGGTATTCCTGTGAATGCTGCTTACAGTGAAGCTATCAATACGGACACGCAACCACTGAGCAGAGGTCATATGAATCCCTCAGGGATAAATTCGTTCGACGAAAATTTCATGAAAGCTACATTCACTCTTACCAATGCAGCACCCCAGTTCGAAACTTCTAATAGCGGACCCTGGAACACATTTGAAAAGCGAATAAGGGAATATGCTAAAGGTACTTGTGGTGCGAGCAGCCGTAGTGGAACGCTCTATCTTCTGACAGGAACGTCTAATTTCGGCCTCCGACCTGGTCCCGGTGGTGGAAAACCTGTCCAAGATACCACCATACCGTTACCATACACAAGAACTGATTTTCCTAGAGGAGTTAAACTTTTCACACCTCGTGCTGTGTGGACAGCGGGTTCTTGAGTATGGAAAGAACCAGGCAAAAAGGCAGAGTCGTTTGCTGTCATGAGCAACAATCAACGGGATCGTAGCTTGCTGCACCAGACGGAAATGAGTGTCACTGATCTGGAGGCGCTTCTTACTAAACCAGGATCTCCAGGGGTGAATTTATTCCCGGGAGATGCAAACTGCAGGAACAAAAATGTCATACTACCGTCATAATTGGCCGAGCATAGATAAAGGCAATCTCAGGAGTTATTTCAATTAAGTTTTAGTACGTAACGCTTTTAGAAAAGTAGAAAGACGGCATGTAGTGTATTTTATAGAACTGCTAAGAAAAATGGAGCAAGGTGTTTGAAGAAGAGAGAATATAGCCACATATGCATGTGACGTTGTGAATGTTGGAGGCTAAGACAGGGAAACAAAGAAGACGAATATTACGACGACACGTTATAAGCCTACTCCAAAGTAAGAAATGTCAGTATATGCTTGGAAAAGAAGTTTTAAACTTGTCACTGATTATGGTGAATAAAATGTGACTGCAAATTCATGCAACTACAGAGTAAATTCTTGTTAACTACTTAATATATATGACCAACTCTCTTCAATGGCCACGAATTACCCATCATTGATGTATTTTGTTTATGTATAAATTTTGGAGGATTACTAAGAATACCGATACCAAATTGTCTCCCAAGTTTCACGGAGATTGGGTAAATGCTTCACCTTCAAATAAAACCATGCAAAATTATGGGGCAGAGAAACGAGAGAGATAGAGAGAAACGTCGGTCGATGTGACTGATTTTATCACCGACAAGAAGCTCAAAAATTTTAAGTTTGTAGAAAATACCGACGGGGTTTCTTTTCGCGCGGCGGGTTTATTAAACGTTGTGCTGGTCTGCGTCAAGTATTTTCAATGACATGTAGTGCAAAAAACATGTAGTGAAAAAAAAAATTAAAGAAACAGAAAAGAAACAACAAAACGACACAAACAAATAAAAAATGCGAGCGGGTTTGTGTAGCACTGAACAACGCTAGGTTTAAATTTGTGGATTAGTGGTTTGTATAAGGTATGTTTGACTTTCGGCGAATACAGTTTGTCCAAAACTGTGTTCGCAAAACCTCAAATCGGGTTGCGAAGTAAAATGTACAGTCATACTTTTGCAACAAAAATTCACGACAGGGGTTGTTATTATGGGGAGCATACCCGAATTAAACTATCCATGAACAAAACCTTCTATTATTACCGGTATATCTTTTTATCTATTGAATAAGCAAGAAGAAACATTCTGGCAATTACAAATTATAGAATTTCAGAATAAGACCACTCTATATAGAGCTGCAAAACTGACTTATCAAAAACGGTGTTTTATTGGATGATGTAATTCCAGAGTTTTGATTGGCTTTGTGGCTATGGGATATCAGTCGTTATTAAAAACTGTATCATTGTATAATGCAATTCCAGGGATTTGATTGGCTTAGCGGCCATGTTCTTTCAAGGCGAAATCAGCACGATCTAGCAATAATTCTTGATTGTTTTTAACAACACAATTATTCAACTCGCGCTTGTTGGATATGAGATTATTATCCAACGCGTGCTCGTCGAATAATTGTTAATTATCGCATGCCTAGAAATAGAGGCCCATCTTCTGGTCGTTCTTGCCAAATGAAATCAGCAAGATGTGGCAATATTTCTTGTTTTTTTTTGTTCTAATTAGTCCACTCGGCGCTCCTTGGATATGGGTTTGCATGAGCTCACATCGTACGCGTGCTCGTGGAGTAGTTGTTTAGTATACTTTATAATACCCCTCACCCCACATTTACTTTACAATGTATATTGTTATTTCAATGCCTTAAATCTAGCTTATTGTGTTTTTGATGTGGCCCAAGTAGCATCCATCTCTGATTGCATATTCTTAAGCGGCCTTCACACGACAAATTTTTGTTGGCCAACTTGTGTTGGCCAACTCACGTTGGCGTGCGTGAACTACACAACAACATGTTGGCCGACTGTTGGCGACAAATAGAACTTGTCTCTATTCTCGCCAACCTTTTTTCGTGCTGGCCAACTCGCATTTGACGTGTGAACGATAAACAAAGATGTGTTGCTGAATTTTAACCAATCAAAATTCGTCCACTCATCACGTGATTTGCCCGACACTCACAAAATGGTGGACAAGTTGATCCGACCGGCGTCCGATCGTGAAAGGGATGCAACTTTCAAATTAATTGACGAAATTCTGTCATGGCCGGATTTGTGGGAAATTAAGTCCAGTGGATACAAAGATGCTGCAAACAAACAGAAGATATGGCGTTGAAATTGGGATTAAAAGGAGGTAAGTAGAGATAATTTTCTTGTCAGTCTTTTTAGTTCTTAGTTCTTAGTTTATTTCGCTCCTATAATAGCTTACGCTAATCTCAGGAGGTTTTTAAGAAAACAATCACAATTAAAATTATAGTAATTACAGTAAATACATAAAAATTAGAATTGCTTTAGTTGACAGGGCACTTTGAGGTTGGGTATCGCCTTTTGAGCTGCGTTTCAGAAAGAGTCATAGATGTCACAGGAAGAAATAATAGAGTTAATTTGTTTTAAAGCTTACCTAAAGATACACAAAAGAAGTATTTAAACTATCTTTAATTTATTTACTAAAGACATGAAATACACTTTTCATAGACTTTAAGGTGAACATTAAAGGCAAACTTATGAACCATTTCATAACCGCTTTAAGTTACGAAGAAAGGTAACTGAAAGGTTCATTTCATAAACTTTAGGAACTGCTCCTAAAGCGTTCTAAAGTAACATTTAATTAATCTTTTGTGTCAACTTTAGTATAGCTTTAATTTTTCAAAAATACTTGGTGGTATATCTTTGCTTTGCCTTTAATTCTACTTTAATGTAGTATTAAAGACTCATGTCATCTTTAATTTGTCTTTAATTCTATTTTAATGTTTTATAAAAGCCCCAAGTCATCTTTAATTTGTCTTTAATTCTATTTTAATGTTTGATAAAGGCACCAGGTCATCTTTAATTTGCCTTTAATTCCATTTTAATGTTTCATAATACCCCGCGTTTGTCATCTTTAATGTGCCTTCAATTCGATCTATTTTAATGTTCATTAAAAGCCCCAAAGAAGAGAATAAGATAAAGGGATTAAAACTGGGGTATCTCAGCTTGTCGGAGAAAAATATCATAAGTTGAACACTGGAATCCATGACTGCATGGTTCCTCTTAAAGAAATAAATAAATACAGTGAAACAAACAAAATCTACTTTAAAATCAGTTTATTGTCAATAATGTCTAATTCTTATTTTGAAATTATTCACTGCCTACTTTAATGGAAAAACCACTTTGTGGTGAAAAAAAAAAATAGACCAAGGACCACAACTTCAAAAAGTTAAAAGTACATCTTTATCAAATAGGTTTGATGATCGTTAATTTATAAAATAAATTCACAACACTGTTCATTGTCAACTTATGAAGATAGTCCTGCAATCACACAGATGAAGTGGTTGAAGAATCAAGATCTGATGCTTGAGCATTAAGGACCATTCACGAATTTCAGGAGGGTCACGTTCTGACGGCTCCTTACAGTTCTAGGCACAATCCTGTCACGTGCCCTCTTAGCCTCTTGTTATACTTTTTATCAAGCTGCTTTTTGATTTTTCGCAGAGCTGTGCTCTCCCAAGGGAGCTTTTTGATCTTATAACTGGTTAGTGCCTCCTTGCCATCTTCGTCAGCTTTATAACAGCTATCCTTGCTGCTCATTGTCTCCATCACCAGGACCTCTTCTTCCATTCTCATGGTTGTCGCCCCATTTCACCATTTCAAAGGCAGCTGTCCTCCTTGTTAACTTCTAAAAGAAAGAGACGGAATAACAGTAGGTGGTGGGCCAGAACTCATTACAATACAATCCAACTGATTCCACCATTGGATATGTAACAAAAGAGTATAATTAGATGAGACTTAAACAATATCCAGACTAATCTCTCTTATTATTCTGTACATCACAAAAATTAAATCTTATAATAAATTGTTGTTTTTTGAATGAAAAGATATGGTCAGTAGATATGTTATTTACTGCCTTTTCAGAGATAACAAGCCACTTAAACCAACTAAGCATCCAAGGTTTACATCAGGTTACTCTAAGAAATCATGCAACATGTGTGTCCTCCTTTCATGATCTTCATATTTTTCAGAATTTTTCAGTCTTCTAGTCTCATTTAATGACTGAAAATATCTTTGTAGAGCAGCTGTTGTAATGGTAAAGTAAGGTGTCTAGCATTAGCTCAGGCTTACATCAGTACAGGGGACTGTATTCTAGGAAATGATGTATTGTAGGGGAACCAATTACTCTAACTTACAAAATTCAGGGTGCCCAGTAAATAAAACAATTAAGATTTTCTTCTTTGCTTAAGGACAAAGGTAATTCATCACTTATAAACACTGTGGCCAACCTGTCAATGTTTTACAAATGATATGAAGCTACCACTGGATGGTTAAAATCTTAATTGATGTTATATTTATATTATATCACGTGATCTGTTCCAAAATTAAAATAAACAGGAGATGGCCTAAATTTGTCCGACTTTAATGATGTGTGACTATTATACATATGAATACAGGTAAATTTACATTAAGCAGTCCCCCTTTCAGGCTGTTTAAATGGTCACTTCTTAAAACAATTAGCATACCGCTGCACTAAATGAAATTGTGCATTCCTTGTAATGAACTGTTTTATTGTTGACTTTTTTTCTCTCTTCATCTGGAGGAATGGAAAACTCCTTGAGGTAAGGATTAATCCCTCGCTACTCTCACTCACTACTGTATCTTTGTGGTGTTTTTGTTAATGTTCCTTAAAGCGTTTTGAACCTGTATTAAATGGGTCAAACTATTACCCGTCATTTTGCCCCTTCCCAAAGGGTGACCACAGCAATTATAAAGGTTGGACTATGAATTGCCTTATGTGAATGACAGTGTACCTTCCATCGCGGCCCTTGTCTATGGACACCTTTCCTCTCCTCCATGTTGGTGTAACACTTGGGCCATTACTCTTTGGAAGATAGTAGCGTTGTTGTCAGAGCTTACTCTAAAAAGATATATCACCAAAGCAAAGTCACTTTCTTGATCTTTGATACATATTGTCTCTTTGGCAGTTATCAGGTACATATTATTGGCATCAATGTTCAATGACACTGGCATTTTGAACTTCTGAAGGAAATTCTTTTTAACCCTTTAACCCCTAGCAGCGACCAGCATCAAATTTCTCCTTACAGTATCATAAACAAATCAAACAGAATAAACTAAAATGATCACCAATGAACAGAGAACAGTGTAAAGAATATGCAAGTTGATTTTTGGGGTTAAAGGGTTAATCTACAAAAAAGGCAGGTGAAAAACTAGAGCTAAATTGGGTTGGAAGGCATAATACAATGGGTACTATTGTCATTCATGAGGTGGA